CTCTCTCTCTCTCTCTCTCTCTCTCTCTCTCTCTCTCTCTCTCTCTCAGCAGCTGACTTTTATTCTTAGCAGTCATTAAAAGAAAGCCTAGATCATCATGTAGTGTCAATTACGTCACATGTGATTATGTGTCTGTTTAGTATTGATACTTGCTGTGCTTGTTTGGTTAAACATTGGTGTGGACTCAGAGAAAAGCAAACAAGATTGTGAAAAGAGCTGGAAAATTCTGCTGCTAACATGGAAGATATATATTGAATCAGGGTCAATAAAAGCTATTTCACACATATAAGCTGATGATACCTCTGCACTGATTTGACATGTATATTATGCAACACAATTGTATTCAAATAGTTTAGTTAGAAAATAAACCAAAATTTATGGAATTAGTAGTTTTGTTTAGAATCAATTGAAAGGTAAACAGTGCACCCTGAATGATGGGTGGTTCACCTGCTCTTGTTCTCCAAAAATGTAAAACACTCACATGCACCCCAGAACCTGCTGTAAGTGTAATTTTTATTACAAAACTTTCATTATAAAGAAAAAAAACTTCTCATTGAGAAGGGATAATTTTTGTTTTGAAAAAGATAATGAACAGTCTTTGATTTGAGGTTATACCTGTTTTAGTTTGGTGCTTTCTCAGCTTATCTTCTCCAAAGAGCGGAATTTGCATATAGCACCAAGTTCAGTAGCCTGTATATGACACTCGGGATCTCTCCCCAAGTAATGTTCCCCAAGTCACACTGTCATTTAACTAGATTGAGCAGTAAAAGATGTCCTCCAGATCAAACAGGATATGATTGCATCATAGAAGAGTCAGTGGTGATGCTGAACTTAAGATTAACCAGTGGAAAGATCTACAACTTCAACACTCTTTAAAGTCTGTAATTTATCGAATTTATCCAATTGCCTCATGATACATTTACAGCACCTGAATAGCACTACTGGTACACAGTAACTGCACAAAATGCATACCGCATGGCAGAAGAATTTAGCCATTTTCTTTCTTAAATAAAAGCTCTGTTGCTCAGTCTATTTACTGGATTGTTTTTGCTTTCACTGTCATACGAGCCTATTTGTGCACTGTTAACTATTTTGCAGAGTTTCAGAAAACCTTTCCAGGCTCCAAGAGGGTCTGTGAAACTCAATTTGAGAAAAGACAGACACTGTCATATTCCCCTGATTCTGAAAGACAAGTGTTCCACCTTCATTTTTTTTTTTTTTTACGAAAAATGACATTTATACTTTTGCTATCAAATTAGTTCTTTAGAAAGAATCCAAATTTTTTTCCTATCTGTAAAATTGCAATACAGGAAAAATATTAAGTAATAACCAAAAATAAGTGAGTGATTGTGTTTCTAAAATGGTACTTTTTTTTGTAGGTGTAAAGCATTATATGACCCAAGGTAATCTTAGAATGACTGCAGGCGATATTTCAAGTTAGTCATTAATAACACACGGTCCCATGGGCAAATAAGCAAAGTCAACAGTAGTGCCCTACCTGAAGTCAAAGAAAGGCCAATGGCCCTCCCCCACCCAACACACAATACTGCAAGTTAATGTAGGCAAGACCCCTGTGCCTCTTAGTCCAAATAGACCTTAGGGATCAAGACAAATTGCTTCGACCATTGATCAGATGTTACATTCAGTGTGTGCAGAGCCAAGGCCAGAAACAAATGTTCCAAGGTTCTGTTCTTTAAACATTGTGCTTTAAAAATCTGCAGTGAGTCCACAACGTGTCCCTTGCAAACTTTTAAATGTATAATTTCAAAATGTTTCACACGGAAATCTTTTATTCAATCTATGGTAAAAGTAAAGTTGTCATTTTTTTCACATCATGATCCCAATTTGCATTCTATCAATGAAACTCCTGCCTCATTGGCATTACCCCCTCCCCCGACCCCAAACTAGCAGTGTTAAAAGCTCAGTTTCATCGATACAGCTGGAAATAGAAATGTTCCATTTGAGTTACATCCCAGTGGTATTTTCTCAGACTGTGAGAATTAAAATCACCTTATAACCTCTTTGAAAGTGGAAGCTGGACATGAAATACTGAAGAGTAAACTGAAGTACTCATTTAAGCAAATAGTATATATTGACATGGATTTTATTGCCACATGGTTGCAAAATATGTTTCTTACAATCATCATAACATATTCATTAAAATTATAATTTTGCTGATGTACAGCATTGCACTGCTCACATCAGATTTGGTGTGGGCTGGGGGTTGTTAAATTGCTTGTTAAAATTGGCTACTTTATTTCTGTTGTGCACTTCAATTCAATTTCTCACACAGCTTCTCATTCATTAATTCCACTGTACGCGTAATTTTTATGTTTATTCTGTTTGGCCCTTTTTTTTATCCTTCATTCTGATTTCTTGACGATTTCTCCAAGCAGCTATAATTTTATCATCATCGTCACTGCTGTTTCCTGATGCAGACTTCATACCTTTCTTTGCTGTAGGATTCTCAAGGTCATGGTTATTCCTTTTTGCACTGCCCTGTTCCTCTGTATTTGCAAAACTCTGGTTAAATGTTCTCTTTGGATAGCTCTCCAGGGTATCATCATAAGTATTTAGTCCTGTCTCTGAATGATGCAAACAAGACCTCCTGGGGAAAAGATGAGTGGCTGGTTGGTCTGATGTCTGGAGACCAACATTTGGATATGAACATTTCATTTCAATACAGGATGTTTTGGAGTGCAGTTCACTGGAACTACCAGGTTCTTCAGTCATTGGCCTTTGAAAACTGTAGTCAGGTGGTGGGGTGGAATATTTCAACTTAGTTAAGTTATTACCCTCAACATTTGACCTGTATGCTGAAGCAAATCTTCGAGATGTATTTTCTTCAGAGTCTGTCAATGATATTTTCAAATCAACATCCTTTATACTATACAATGAAGCTGAATCTTTTGTCACATCCAATTGGTGTTTTGGCAATGACTCGCTAAAAGGTTTGTGGAGGTAAGAATTTGAAGTGAGCCTTTTGTCTTCATTCATAATCTGGTCATATGCTAAGGTTTTGTTGTCAACAGAGACTTCCTTAACATCACTGAGCCATTTCTGTATATTGGTAGCTGATGTTGGAGTACTGCTGCGTGTGTATGAATGCTCACCTGAAATATTGGATGTTGTATCAAACTTACCTGTTCTTGAATTGGAAAAACATTCTGAATTTGTTTCAACCAAAACCTCATTTTCACTTTCATCTTTCTTCTTCTTTTTAAACATTGTGCTCCGTTTATTGTCAAACACAACCTTTTCTTTTTGATATGCATCCATTTTATCTTTCATTTCGCTTTTAATTTCTTTGTTCTTGCAGTCTAACATTTTAAAATTAACTTCATCTGCAAACAAGCTATAAAGTGGTTTGCTTGTTTTTGTGATCTTCTCTGTTGAGTTGAACCCTTCAGACTTGAAGCTAGACAGGTTGCTGCATGACAAGACAGACTGAGCATCTGTGCTGTGAACTGTTTTAGGCCCCAGCAGGGAACCAGCACAGGCTTTTCCAGACTGCATGCTGAGAAGTGACATTTTGTCATCGTCTATACATCTTGAAGTAGCTCCTTGTTGGAGGTTTTTGTCTATTGGGACAGCACCAATGATCTCATTTTGCTTTAGTGCAATTTGCTCATTAACCACAGAAGCAATCCAATCCTGAATACTGGAAAGTGAAACAGTAGCATCAGCATTTACTTGCAATGGTGGCATAGGGACTGCAGTGGCTGAGGCAGTTCTTGCTCTGAACATTGATGTTCCACTACTCTGCATGCTTAATATAGAAGCAGCATCATCACTTACACTTCTATTGGACATTCTGCACCCAAAAATAGATAGTGGAATGCTTTCACTCATAGAACTCTCTGTCTCATACTCAGATAAGGATTTACTCTCTTCCAATGTTCGTTTAGAACGTTCCAAGACCTCAGCACGCCTTTGCTTAGTTCTGTTGGATGTAATATCTTCATCTTTTGCCAAATTTATTATCTCATTTTTATTTTCATTGCCCAGCTTTTTCTGATGTTTCAACTTCCAGCTTTGATAAGCAGTCAGGTTGACATCAGCAAGTGATTTTTGTTCTCTTTTCTTTCCCTCCTCACTTTCATCAGGGGTGTTCTCATCATCTGCTTTGGAATCCTTTTTATTCCATCCAAATTGTATCCGTTTGACACGCCACCTTTCTAAAGGGGTCAGATTGTCTTTGTTCTTCTTGCAGAAGTTGAACATAGAACTAGTTTCTGACAATACAGAATTTTCTTCATCTGGGTCTCTCCTTTTTTCACCATAGTTAAAAGAAGCAATGCTATGGCTATCATCACCTCTTGTGGCTTTCTTGCTGATCTCAAGCAATCGTTCATCCCACATATCCCATGTGCTAGCTTCAGTGGACAAGGAGTCATTTCGAGTTCTCCTTGGCTTATTTAAATACTCCTCCAAACGTTGTTGAAGAAGCTCACTGTCAAGACTACCAACACTTGCCGAGTCATCTTGCTTACTGGCAAGATATTGACTACTTCCTGCAATAACGGATTCTCTACCTTCTCCATTATTGCTCAGTTGTTCAAGCTGCCAAACTGGATCCAACTGAAATTTTTCATTTCTGCTTTGCCATTCCCTAATTAGCCAATCCACATTATTTGCTTCCTCAAAATCTTCAGGAAGTTTGGATCTATCCTCTCTTGGTTTTTTGGTTCGTTCTTTTGGTGCCATACCTTGTTTTGCTCTCCACTCTTCATAAATCCTTTCCTCTTCGGCTTCATCAATTAATGATGGCCTTTTGGAAGCAACACTTGATTTTGCTACAGAGCTCATTAAACTATTAGCAATTAAGCTGGCTGTGTCCTCCTCTTCCACGATGATAGAATGTGCCTTAGCTCCCATGATGCTCTGTGCCTCCTCTTCAGCCACAGAAACAGAATGGGCTTTTGCTTCTATGACAGAGCATTGGCTTAGAGTCTCATCATCGTCATCATCAAAATCACATTGACCACGCTCATCCAAAAGGTTTTCATTTAATTCCCTAAGCTGCATCAAGAATCCTTCATTTGGGAAGATTGGACGTTTTTTACGTAGAGTCATCAAAGCCTCCATGATTGTCATATGGTGGAAAATCATAAGGTAGGCTGTCACCAGGGCTGCTGATCGACTGACTCCCATGACACTGCAAACTAAAACTTTACCTGTGGAAATGCAAAAAAGGGGCTTTCAATGTTAAACTACTTCTCTTGTTAGAATTATTACCCATGCATGGAACAGATATATTTCCATGTGGGAACAAATAACATAAGAAGAAAAAGGTTTATGTCCTGAAGGCAGAATTTACATGGTTATTGAAATACAGGAATAGTAGGACAAAACACAAAATAAATGCAAAGCAAGTGGTAAACAATGTTAGTGAGTTGCAAGCACATGTTGCCACAGGGAACCATCATTTCATGGCAATAATAGCAATCCATCTCAAAGAAGGGTAGAATCCTATACATGTAATTCCTGGATAAAAAACATTCCAAAAATATTTTGAAATTGTGCCCTGTTTTCCAAGATCTGGATCATTAATGTATGTCACGAAAAACAAGAATCCCAACAGTGACAGCCTGGGAGCTCACTTTCATACTTTCCATTCCCCGAGTCTGAAAACCATCCATTAAGTGGAGTATTGTGTGCAGTTCTGGTCTCTACATTACTGGAAGGACATAATTACTCTGGAGAAAGTGTAAAGAAGATTTACTGGAACGTTGCCAGGGCTGGAGAATCGTAGCCACGAGGAGAGATTGGAGAGGTTAGGATTGATTTTCTTAATAACAGAGGAGGCTGAGGGGTGACATGATTGAGGTATAAAAAATTGTGAGCGGTAGAGAGAGAGTAGACAGAAGGAAGCTGTTTCCTTTGGCAGAGGGTTCAAAAACCAAGGGTCATACATTCAAGCTAAGTGACAGAAGGATTAGAGGGGACGTGAGGAAAAACACTTTTACACAGAGGATGGTGGGTGTCTGGAATTTGCTGCCTGAGTTGCCTGTGGCAGAGGCACAGACTCTAAAAAGTACCTGTATCTGCACCTTAAGTGATGTAAGCTGCAGGGCTATGGGCTGTGTGCAGGAAGATGGGATTAGAAAAGGCATCTGGGTTGCTTGTGTTGGTATGGTCAAGATGGGTTGAATAGCATCCTTTGTGCTGTATCATGTTTATGGTTTCTATGGTTTCTAAGCATTACACATTGTTTCCTATAACTCAGCCAATTTGAAACCATGTTGTTACTGTCCCTTTTATTCCGTGAGTTATGAGTTTGCTCACAATTCAATTGTGCAATACTTTATCAAATGACTTCTGGGAATCCATCTACAGCATATTAACAGCACTACCCTGATCAACACTCTGTTACTTCTTCAGAAAGCTCTAGCGAAGTTGTTAAACGTGATTTTTCCTTAAAACGTCCATGCTGGCTCTCCTTTATTAACCTGCATGTAACTATTAGTTTGGTACTGAAATATTGTTTCTAGAATTCCAAAAAGCAAAGACTGCGATGAGATCTGACTGAAATATGCAAAATGATGAAAGGAATAGACAGAGTAAATTGGGAGAAAATGTTTCCATTTGTGAAAGCACAGTAGGTGGCCCTGCTCTGCCCTTTCCCCAGAGCCCTCCAATTTTCCCCTTCCAATTATGCCAACCTTTTGTGCATGGTTAGGTTTCCCTTAATGAGCCTTGCTTTTTACTGTCTCAAAACATTTCAATAAATCACTGTCAAATGAATTCAAATATAGGAGAAGGTGGCACAGTATTAATGTCATTGGGCTCGTAATCCAGATGGTAGAGATGATACTTTAAGGATGTGATTCAAGCCCTATCATAGTCCCTAGTGTAAGATCATAACCAATGCATGCACTGTCTCTGAAGCCACTTATTTTAAGGCCCTAGGTTGCAGGTTATCAGGTCTAGGGGACCTTTCAGGCTTTATGTCTAAGAACATTACTTGTACCATTGCCTTAGCGATTGAGATTATTTTACATTTCTCTCTAATTTTATTTCTTGATTTTCAAATACTCAGAATTTATTTTAAGTCTACTCATGTGAAGACAGACAGAATAATAGCTGTTCAACAATTTTGCCATTTCCTTGTTTCCTCAATTTCACTCTAAGGCAGGGCTCCCTAAAGTAGGTTTTGGAACCCCAAGTGGAGTTGTGAGCTGAAAATGTTGGGTTGTAGGTGCTGAGGCAGGAATGGCCACTGTGAAGCTCAGCCCACCCTTTTCACCCACTCTCACGGGTCCTGTCACCTGCAGTCATAGATTTACTCATCCACCCCGGCACACCTCCCCCAAGCTGTCACGGTTACCTCACTTTCATTATCATGGAAGCTATATAAAATAATCAAAAAGACAAATTGAATTCTGTCTTTTATATTTGAATGCCCAGAATACAAGTGGATAGAAGTCATGCCTTAGCTATAAAAAAACCTAGCTAGACCACATCTGGAGCAGTTCTAGATGACCCTTTCTGATTATCAGGATTTACAAGTTTCAAGCCTTTAAAAAAAAAGCTTTTCTATTTTTATGACCTAAGGGAATAAGCCATCTTTTCCCCACATTATATTCCATCTGCTACTTTGTGGCCATCTCACCTTGCCTGTCGACATCATTTTGCGATCTGTTTTTGTCACTCCCACCTAGCTTTGCATTGTCAGCAAATGTAGATGCACTACTCTCTATCTCTTTCTCTAAGTTAATACAACGTCAGAAGTCACATGACACCAGGTTATAGTCCAACAGACTTCGTCTAAATCACAAGCTTTTGAAGCGCTGTCCCTTCTTCAGGTGAAGTGAACAGAAGCATATAGGCACAGTATTTATAGGCAGAGTGATCAAAAGACCATACAAATGGTATGAGTGGAGTGTCAATAGGCTGAATGATAAGTCTCTGCAGGTGATTAAAAGTGTCAAACAGTGTGAATAAAACATCAACAGCTGAATAGCAAATGAGGTGATGACCTATAATGCGATTAATTGAGGCAGAGAAATAATTACATAATATTAAGAATAAGGTGGTGCTGGATACAAATCAAATGACAAGAATAAAATGATAGGTATAAGAGTTGTATGCCACAGTCTAACCAAAGTAACAAGTAATACAAAACTGCACAAACTAAGGTAGAGAGATCATAACAAATTATCAAGGTGACAGTGTCAAAACAGGACAATAAGGAAGATTTTAACAGATACAGAACAGTGTAGCGGGGTTACATGTAGCGCAACATGAACCCAAAATCACAGTTGACACTGCTTTCATGGTTATAGAACTTGGCTATCAGTTTCTGCTCAGCGATTCTGCACTGTCGTGTATCTCTAATGCCGTCTTGGAGGATGCTTACCCGAAGATCCGAGGCTGAATGTCCTTGACTGCTGAAGTGTTCCCCAACTAGGAGGGAACATCCCTCCCTGGTGATTGTTGCGTGGTGTCCATTCATTGGTTGTCGTAGCATCTGCACGGTCTCGCCAATATACCATGCCTCGGGATATCCTTGCCTGCAGCGTATGAGGTAGACAACATTGGCTGAGTCACATGACTATCTGCCATGTACGTGGTGGGTGGTGTTCCCTCTGTTCTTTGCAGCCTTCAACATCTCATCAACGACAACGAACATCTCACCAAGAACATCCCTATGATTCCAATTCTCACCTTCAAACAATTGCCAAGCCTTAAACAGACTGTCATTCACAGCAAACTACCCAGCCTTCAGGACAACATCGATCACAACACCACGAAATCCTGCCACGGCAAACTCTACAAGGTATGTCAGATTATCAACCTGGACACTACCATCACATGCGGGAACACTACCCACCATGTGCACAGCAGATACTCGTGTGACTCTGCCAAAGTTGTCTACCTCATATGCTGCAGGCAGGGTTGCCCCAAGGCCTGGTATATTGACCAGACCATGCAGACGCTACGACAACAGATGAATGGACACCGTGCAACAATCACCAGACAGGAAAGCTCCCTCCTAGTTGGGGAAAATTCAGCAGTCAAGGACATTCTGCCTCTGGGCGGCACGGTGGCCCAGTGGTTAGCACTGCTACCTCACAGCACCAGAGAACTGGGTTCAATTCCACCCTTGGGAGCTGTCTGTGCGGAGTTTGCACATTGTCTGCGTGGGTTTCCTCCGGGTATTCCAGTTTCCTCCCACAGTCCAAAGATGTGCAAGCTAGGTGGATTGGCCATGCTAAATTGCCCGTAGTGTTCAGGGGTGTGTAGCCAAGGTGGGTTATAGGGGGATGGGTCTGGGTGGGATGCACCAAGAGTCAATGTGGACTTGTTGGGCTGAAGGGTCTGTTTCCACACTGTAGGGATTCTATGATCTTCGGGTAAGCATCTTCCAAGATGGCCTTTGAGATACATAACAGTGCAGAATGGCCAAGCAGAAACTGATAGCCAAGCAGTCACACCATTTGTATGATGTTTTGATCTCTCTGCCTCTAAATACTTTGCCTATGTGCCTTTCTTCACTTCACCTCATAAAGGGGCAGCACTCCAAAAGCTTGTGATTTCAAATAAACCCATTGGATTATAACCTGACGTCATGTGACTTCTGACGTTGTCCACCCCAGTCCAACACCAGCACTTCCACATCATAAGTTAATATAGACAATCAATAGATAAGGGCTCAGCACTGACCTTTGTGACACTCTACTGGTCATAACTCCAAAATGCTTGATTTATCCCTACTCTTGCAGAAGTAAAATACTGTGTAGGCTGGAAATATAAAAATAAAAACAGAAAGTGCTAGAAAGGCTCAGCAGGTCTGTCAACATCCAGAATAACCCGTCTTTGGAACTATACTAGACTCAAAATATTAACTCTGTCGCTCTCTCTACAGATGCTGCTAGGCCTGCTGAGTTTCTCCAGCACTTTCTGTTTTTATCCCTACTCTTTCCTGCCAAAGTTTTTCCCAACCCACTATCCATGCTAATAGAGTCATACAGTCAGAGTAATACAGCATGGAAACAGGCCCTTTGGTCTAAATTAGTCCATGCTGACCATGCTGCCCAGTCAGCTTGTTCCAATTGCCTGCATTTAATAAGTCAATTCTAATTCCATGAACTCTTATCAAAAAGAATGGCAGCACAGATTTGTTAGAGGGAAACCATGTTTGGTTAATATCATTGAAAATTTTTTTGAGGTAACAGAGGATCGGTGAGGGTTGAGTGAGTATACAAAATATACAAAAGACAGGATAGAGTGGTGAATAAATGTTTTTAAGACTTTTTAGATCACCCACTTAAGACAGAGATGAGGAAGAATATTTTCTTTCAGAGGATGGTGAATCTATCAAAGTCTTCCCCACAGAAGGCTGTCAAGGCTATGCCGTTAAGTATATTCAAGGCAAAGATAGATTTTTAATCAGTAACAGAATCAAGGATTATGGGGATCAGCCATGATATCATTGAACGGCAGAGTGGACTCGATGGTCTGAATGTCCAACTTCTGTCCCTGTGCAGCATTCCCTCCAATTTTGTTACCGAGTGTGAGGGCACCTGCAGCCCGTGGGCAGCAATGACTTTCAAAACAGGAAGCCAATGCAATGACTGCCATTCACGGAACACTGGACTGCAACTTAAAGGGAATGTTGCTCGTATGTTTAATGGTCTTATAGACTTACTTATGGGCCAGAGTTTCTGGCTTTGAGTCCCATGCCATAATTTACTGGTCATGAATAGCATGTTCGTAATGCAGGGTAAAGAGGTTGATTGACAGCTTGTAAGTACTTCCAATGTGCCTGATGCTGTAAGGTTGAGAAAATATCCTGACCAGCCAACCTGCAGAAGACAACAGCAAACCACTGCAGTACTTCTTTCCTGTATTGTGGGCCAATCTAATAGAACTCAATAACCCAAAAAAGATGGAAGGGCAGAAAGACAGACGGACAGTACTAGGATACTCAGTGCTTAATATCAAAGCCTGCAAATGATATAAAAGCTTGGAAATGTAATGAGCAATGAGGTGGACAATAACAGATTTCAGGAGGAGACAGATGGACAGAGACATAGCAGATACAATTTAATGCAGAGAAAAGAAGGTGGAGGAATGAGAAGAAGCAATGTGAACTAACATCAAACTCTGGCTTTAAATACTAGCAAATTAAAAACTCTAGAAACAGACAGTTGCCAATGTTGACTTTCACCCAGACTCAAATCGGAAGAGTAAAAGGTAGCATAATACATTTTGTTTAGTCAAACAAGATGATTTACTAATATGGGCAACCATAATGCTCATTATTTGATATTATATAGTCAAATGGCACAGCTTGTATTAACTGAGTCAAATCATAACTCTTGCTTTGTATGTTGTCTTAGATATAAAATGGCTCAATGTTTCAATCTGGCCTTATTTAACTAACATGGAAACAGTTTGCTAATCCAAAGATATGAGATGCATATGAAGGTGCCAATGAAAGACAATTAATTATATCCAATACATGTAAAAAGTGGGATGCATTTTTATATTGTTAGCACTAGATTATTATATAAGTATAAATTGGGCCATGTCAGGCAACTCCAAAACTTCAAGGATATGAGATTCACTTAATAGAATTGATTAAACCCACAATGGCACCTACAGAAGACCAAGGCTCATCCAATCCCAGTAGGGGTTATACCATTTCTTACAGTGCCCTGATTTGTTTAACATTGAAATTTTCAATCACTTTTTACCTCTGTATGTCAGAAGTGCTTCATCCATAAACTCTGCAGCTTTACGGAAATGTTTGGATAGGTCAAAGTCAGGAAAGTCATCAGCTTCAATTCCAAGGTATTGAATTTCCATTCCTGCATAAAAGTCTGTCTTGGTATACACACCTGTACCGTGGGCAGCATTAAGGATGTGAGTTATACCTAACCGTTTCAATCGAACCTTATTCACAGTTGCACCCCTGAAAAGACAAAATTAAAGTTTATTCCCATTTTCTGACTAAATGGTAATTTAGGGCATAAAAGTATGCTCCAGGCAAGTTTGTAGAACTAACACACTTTTCACAATAGCATGATGTCAAGTCCTCTGGAAAATATACCACTGCAAGGTCACAACATTAGGTTGTTGCTGCTCACACTCCATCCACTTTTAGTTTTATTCACAGATGTGATGTGGGTATCACTAGCTGGGTTAGCATTCATTGCCCATCTCTAACTGCCCTTGAGAAGGTGGTGGTGAGCTGCATGGTAGAAATGTTTTGTTAGCTGTCTGAGTGGATAATTTGTGTCTGTTAGGATAGATTTTCCTGTGCAGAAGCCAGGAAAGACAAATGTAGCATTTGGAAATATACCTACACCGAGCACTTATTGTTGTGGTGAACACCATTGTAGCAACTGCTGGAAAGCATGAATCAGATGACTTGCAAGGTGCAAGTAAGGATGCTCCCTTTAATGAAAAATCTTAGACCTTATGTTGTGGAAGCTGCAGGTAAGGAGATGTGCCAGCGCTGTGGTATCCTTCTCAAAATAATGCAGTAAGAGGCTGCAGAAAAGTGAAGGCAGTCATCGAAGCTCAGAGGCAGACCTTCTAGATGGAAAGAACTATGTTTATGACAATTGAAATATAACACATGTATACCACTTTTACCTTCACTGCTGTTATTTCTGTCTCCACTTAGAATCTTTCACTACTAAAAGGAGACATGAGGTTAAAGCTTGTTGCCTTGTAACCATCAGGACTAGGACATAAGAACCAGATTTAATAGGATGCTGCCATCAAGCTAAAATGTTTCTCCTACCACACTAATGAGCAATGTGATATATGAGTTTTAATACTGGTGTGATACCAGGTAAATAACCATATATCCCAGTGATTGGTGGATCATATCAAACAAATCATCCTATTGATAGTTTGCAGTCAAGCTCAACCAGCCTGAACTTGAAATCATGTGATTCTTCTATTGGACAACATTTATTAAATAACCTGAACTGTGCTAAGAATTATACCAGAGAGCAATTTAAGATTGTCAGTTAGGCTCATAGCGTGGTGTAGTTTTGTGTGTGCTAGAGGCGACATATTTCAACACATGGGACCCCGTTATATTGGTTAGGCCAATTTTGGAATACTGCTATTGGAAAGATGTTGTGAAACTTGGAAGTGTTCAGAAAATACTTACAAGGATGTTGAAGGGTTGGAGCGTTTGAGCTATAGGGAGAGGCTGAATAGGCTGGGGCTATTTTCCCTGGAGCGTCGGAGTCTAAAGGGTGACCTCATAGAAATTTATAAAATCATGAGGGGCACAGATAGGGTGAATAGCCAAGGTCTTTTCACCAGGGTAGGGGAGTCCAAAACTGGAAGGTATAAAGGTGAAAGGGGAAAGATTTAAAAAGGACCTAAGGGGCAACATTTTCTTGCAGAGGGTGGTGCATGTATGGAACAAGCTGCCAGGGGAAGTGGTGGAGGCTGGTACAATTACAACATTTAAAAGGCACTTGGATGGGTATATGAATAGGAATGGTATAGAGGTATATGTACCACATGCTGGCAAATGGGACTAGATTAATGTAGGATATCTGGTCGGCATAGATGAGTTGGACTGAAGGGTCTGCTTCCGTGCCATACATCTCTATGACTGCATGCAGAAAAAAGGAGCTTGAAATGTACAGTGCACCCTTCAATTTGGGAAAGAAAAGGGTTGTTGAACCCAACAATCCCTGCTGCATTTCCAGGACAACACCCTGAACCAGTCATAGTCTATCTGCCTGGTCTGAGAAATTAGATTGACAGTTAACTGTTCCTGCTACATCTCTATGCCAATGATATTCTAAACAATCAGCACTCTTCTTCTTTTGCTGTGTAATTGGTATCCCTTTTACAAGTTTGCTTTTTCCATCCTAGCTCTGAGCAGCGCAATAAAGAATTTTCAGCTTTGTGTCTCTTTTTGCAATATTAAAGTTTTATACGGCCAAGCAACCAACATGCCCACTTTGCATACTGTCTATTGTTACTGTTCCGGTCTAAGGGTGCACAATGCTCAACCAGATTGCTCTGATGGGCCTCAGTCAGTCAGTCGTTGTCATTTTTTCATTGTAGACCAAGATGGCACACAATACAAGATAGGGGCTGAAAATTGAATACACTCTCCCAACTCTCCAGGCCTTCAGGGGCTAACCCTATACCTTACTGGTGATCCCAATTCAACACCACCATCACAGAAGCTCCTTACAGAGAATCATCAGCTAGCCATTTCATTCTGCTTTCTTGTCACTGTGCTACTTAGAAGCAGTGCTCCATTAGCAACCAGAACACCAAAAGAATCATCAGGAAAAAAAACTACACCACATCACACAAAGAAATTGAAATGGTTGCAAGGGATATTTGGCGGACATTGTATATCTTGCTCCAGTATATGTCTGGCTGTATAGTTGATGATGGTTGTTTAGAAGTGGGCTTCACAATGCAAGAGAGGAAATTGCTAACAATGACAGGGATAAAATGGTGGAAGAATGCTTCCACTAAACAATAACCTTGAAAATGACATACATTTGACTCTGCCTTTATTTTAAGTCATGAGCATGTTACTACTCAAGCGGTGGTGCTGTGTCTTTGTTCAAATTCAACTGTGCCTCCACTATCTAATGCTGTTAGTCAATTCCTCTCTTATTGACCATCACTGGTATATTGCTACTACATTGTTGGGCCAGTAGAGCAGAGTAGGTTCAGGGGGAACCTGTTTGACATGTACAAAGTCATGTGAGGAATAGATAGGGCAGATAGGGTGAAGCTTTTCCACTTTGTAGAAGGGTCAATAACTGGGGGGAGGGGCACAGTTTTAAAGGTAAGGAGCAGAAGGTTGAGAGGAGATTTGAGGAAACAGTTTTCATATCCAAAGGTTGTGGGTACTTGGAACTCACTGCCCTAAAAAAGTGTGGTAGTGGTGATAACCCTCAAGACATTTAAGAAGTATTCAGATTAGCACTTGAAACACCATTGTATATAAGGCTACAGGCTGAGTACTGAAAAATGGGATTAGAATAGATATGCGCTTAATAATCAGCTTAGAAATGATGGGCCAAATGGCTTATTTCCATGCTGTAAAAACTCCATCACTCTATGACTCTCTAATCAGAGGCCTTTACAAAAGGCCTGGAGACATGAGATCAAAAAGTTAAGTGGGGAATTTAAATTCAGCTAATTAAATGGATCTGGAATAAGAAGCTAGTATCAATAAGGGTTACCATGAAGCATTACCATTTTATAATACACAAGTAAATACCATTTATTATTGTAAAAACCCAACCGGCTCACAAAGTCCTTTAAGAATGAAAACTTGTTCTCATCAGGAATAGGAATAGGATGTAAGAAACTGACTTGAAAAGGGGATACCATTTGCACAGCAAAAGAAGAGGTCCTAACCCTATCAGGCCCGTAGGTGATTCTAGACCCATATTAATATGGTTGACTCTTGATTGCCCTCTGAAATGGCTTATGAAGTCACTCAGTTATATGAAGCTGTGAGGAAAATGACAAATAACATTAAAACCAACAAATCACCAACATCAATTTAGCACTACAAAAACAAAGTTACTGGAAAACCTCAGCAGGTCCGGCAGCATCTGTGAAGTAAAAAATCAGAGTTAATGTTTCGGGTCCAGTGATCCTTCCTCAGAACAAGGAGGAATGTTAACTCTGTTTTTTCCTTCACAGATGCTGCCAGACCTGCTGAGCTTTTCCAGCAAGTTTGTTTTTGTTCCTGATTTACAGCATCTGCAGTTCTTTCAGTTTCAATTTAGTGCTACATGGACTGCAGGATTTGAAGCAGTAGCTCATTATGCCCCTCCCAAAAGCACTCAGGAAAGATAATAAATGTTGGACTTGCCAACAATGTTCATGTCCCATGAGCAAATAAAGTAAACACTTGGAATTCCGCCAACTGTATTCAAAAGTAAATGCTCATATTGCGGATACTAAACAAGATTTGTTTGGAAGTGAAGAAGTCAAATCCCCAAATAAACTTTGTCAAAGGCGGTACAACAAAAGTAGCAACATGTTCAATATAATATTGATGCAAAGGTAGTGAGTACACTTTAAGAGATTTTGGTAACTCTTGTGTCGTGAGGTCTGCCTCTTCTCTGGCTATTTTTGGCATTACGAAATGACATTACACTAATGACAAAGTAATATAATTTCCAAGACATCAGAACTGTGTTTGGAATGTTCAAGAGCCATCAATAAATCAAACATTTCCACTCTACCTCAAATCGCTGCCCACCACCGCTCCTGCCCCCAACTTTCCACAACCCAGCACAGACTCAGCACAAGAAACAAGCACTGGGATCAGCTTCAGATTTTCAGCTCTCCATATGCTGCACTTGCACCTGTTCTGTCAGAATAAGGGATCACTGTTTCAAGTTCTTAAACTAGATTTCCAAATTTCCTCCTCTCCTACACCCAGGTCTCTCCAGGAACATTGTGAAAGCATGTGTTTAAACACCTTGTCGAGATGAAACAGTGACTGACATATAATCTCCTCTATGTTGGTGAGATCAAGTAAAGATTAGGTGATAATTTTGCAGCACATCTCAGTTGATTGGTAAACAAGACTCTGTTATTTTAATTCTCTCTCCCTACTACCACTCTGACCTGTTCACCCTAAGCCACCTACACTGTCCAATAAAGCTCAACAGGTATGCCACTTCATCTTTTGATTCAACCTTTTACACTCTTATGGACTCAATACTGTTCAGAATCAGATTGTAACCTCTGCCTTCAATTTCTTCAAACTTTCTTTATACACAGCTTTTGTTGTTTTACTTGTCCCATCACTATCTCAGCAAGTCTGGCAGCATATATAGGCAGAGAAACTGAATTAGCGCTAACTCTATTTTTCTCTCCATAGATATTGCCGGACCTGATGAGTATTCTAAGCATCTCTGTTTTTATTTCAGACTTCTAGTATTTGCATCTTTGTTTTCCATTGCCATCTCCTTTGTATTACAGCATAATCTCTTTTGTCGTTTATTCTTTTCTGCCTTACACACTTTCTCTTTCCTTGTCTGTATTTGCTTATAACCTGTTACAGTTCCAACCATTTTTCAGTTGTGAAGAACAATCATTGACCTTACAAGCGTTGTTCCTTTACTTGATATACATTAATATCCCCAACTTGGATGTGCTGCTCAAAATTTCAAAAGTTTCAGGTGACACAAAACTTGACGATGAGGAGGACAGTAATAAACTTCAAGAGGATATAGGCTGGTGGAATGAGTGGACATGTGGTGGGTGAAATTTAATGTCCAGCAGTATAAAGTGATATAATTTGGGAGGAAGAATGAGGAAAGGCAATATAAAGGGCATTATGCCAAAGGGACTGCAGGACCACAGAGACCAAAAGGTATATGTTGTAAATTATTGAAGGTGGTAGGACAGATTGAAAAGGTGGTTAAACAGGCATGAGGAATCTTGGGTTTTAGAAATACCAGTATGGAGTTGGAAGCCACAAAATTATGATGAACTTTTAGAAATTCTAGTTCAACCTGAACTGGAGCATACTGCCCAATTATGGACAATGCACTTTAGGAAGGATATGAATGCTTTAGAGAGGGTGCAGAAAATATTAATTTAAATGGTGCCAGGATGAGTCACTTCAGTCACATGGATTGCAGGAGTGGGACATTGTTTCCTTAGAAAATGTTGAAAAGAGATTTGACAGAATTATTCAAAATCATGTGGGGTTGGGACTTCTTTTTATTCATTTTCAGGATGAGGGCATCACTGGCTTAGGCCAACATTTACTGCCCATCCCTAATTGCCCAGAAGGTGTTAAGAGTCGACTACATTGCTGTGGGTCTGGAGTCACATGTAGGCCAGATCAGGTAAGGATGGCAGTTTCCTTCCCTAAAGGGCATTAGTGAAACAGATGGGTTTTTCCGACAACCGACAATGGATGCATGGTCATCATTAGACTCTAAATTTCAGACATTTATTGAATTCAAATTCCACCATCTGCCGTGGCAGGATTCAAGCCCAGGTCCACAGAATGTTGCCTGTGTCTCTGGATTAAATAAAAACCCGAAAGAACTGCGGATGCTGTAAATCAGGGACAAAAACAGAAGTTGCTGGAAAAGCTCAGCAGGTCTGGCAGCATCTGTGAAGGAAAAAACAGAGTTAACATTTCGGGTCCGGTGTCCGGTTCTGAGGAACGGTCTCTGGACCTGAAACATTTACTCTGTTTTTTCCCTTCATAGATACTGCCAGACCTGCTGAGCTTTTCCAGCAACTTCGTTTTTGTCTCTGGATTAAATGCTCAGCAATAATACCACTAAGCCATTGCCTCCCCTGAGTAGAAAGAGAGAAACTTTTCCCATTGACAGGGGTTTTGGAACTAGAGGACACTAAATGAAGGTGATTGGGAAAAAATCCCGAGGCAATAGGAGGAAAAAGTTGTTTTGCACAGCAAGGGGTTAGCACCTGGAACATATGGGTTCAGAATGTGATGGAGGCAGGTAACATAAGGGCTTTCAAAAGGGGAATGGATAAGCATCTGAAGAAAAAGAAATTGTAGGGATAGGGGTTAGGGTGAGAATAAGGAATCAGTTGCATTGCTTTCATAGAGAGACAAGCTGAATGCTCCCTCAATGTTGTAGCTGTTGTCCTGACCAGAGGACATAAAGAGAATTCCCAAAGAAAATTGTTCTATCTTCTGTATCTTTTAAAAATAGATAGTCTTACTGGTCTCATGAAATGGCAGAAGTTCAACACATGATTATATTTCCAGAAGCTTCTGAAACCCCAGCATTGAGTAAATCAACCAATACCTCACTGTGTGGGCTTAAGGGGGGAAAAGCAGTCACAATTTAAATTCCCCAATTTACCTTTTGTCCATGTCATGACTCTATGATACTAATATTCTACCTGAAAGCTCTTTTTTCTACCCACAAATGTTACCTGACCTGCAGAGTATTTTTTTTTCTGGTTTTATGTCAGATTTCTGCATTTGCAGTATTTTGCAATATTTTGCTCTTGTATTACTTATTTAAACTTACTTTTCAGCTATGAAGACATTTGGCCACACCTCATCCATTAGTTCTCTGGGGGCCTCCATCTTGTGCATCAGTGCACGCTGAATGTCCATGATGCAAGGAGTGTTGAATTTGCTGGTGTCATCAAATTTTACTTTCACCCGATTATAAAGATCTTCCACCAGTAGCTGCTCAGCTGATTCCATCATTTTTGGTGACATTGGCTCAACCTTTATTTCTTTGAGTTTCAATTCTTCAGATACAAAAGACAAAGGATTAACAACAGATATAATGGAATCATTTAAAGTTTAGATTGAACACTGGAGCAATGAAACACAGATAGTATGAAATCCAAAGTAAGAAACATGAAACGAATACAGAACGTAGAAAGATCATCCACCAAAAGCCTTGTAAATAAAGATACTATTCCAAGGATTGGATATAAATGCCTTACTAGATATCCTGGCATATTTGAAGCAATCCATTACTCAAAATACCATCTCATACCAAGTCAAAAAGTAAATTAACTCATTTCTTTCAGGTACACAACACGAATTTTTAAAATGTGTTATCTGATTTTCTTTCAAAATCATTATGACTCAACAAAATAACCATATCTCTGTGTATATTGTGTCATGTGTTTCTCCCCACAAGTCTAGGAATCTAAGTTTATCTGAACTGGTTTAAAATTCTGAAATTTTTAAATATTCAAAATTTTGCAGATTTTCATGCTGACTCTTTGTAATGGACTACATTTGGATCAGTGAATTTTACCAAGATATTTAAATCTGTAAGTATCAGGCCAAGTCACATTTTAAACTTCTTCCCTTCACTGAATGGCTCTAGAATTTGAACACAGATTCCTAAATGTTCCAAAGGAATTGAAATGCAGTATATTAACTTCTCTTCAGTTCTTAACGTTGAAAGATCAAACTTGTAAACATTACTTCTACATATGAACGTAATGGTAATAATAAAAGGTAAAACATACCTGGGCCTCTTTGCAGAGGCAATAGCTGAGTTTCAATTTCTACTGATTGCCCACCTGTACAAAATCTGTCTGGAATTAAAATTGGGACTGCAGGATCTGTTAAGATTTGACATATTTCTGGAGATAATGTAGAAAAATGAGGATCTTACCTTCATTAATTATCTTGGCTGCAGCAACTGCAGGAGAGAGATGGATGGGCTCCATGAAGATGCTCTCTGTGTCTGTATCTGACATAATGGAAAATCTGTCAACAAAAATAAAAAACACATTGTTTAAGTGTGAAGAATTTCTTTGCCCTTCTTTCATCGTTGCTCCTCGCCTCAAACAACTCGTTGTTTATTTAGCTAATTTAGTAGGAGGCATTTATTATTTTTGCTTTACCATTAGCAGCTCTTTTTAATTTTAGAAAAGGTCTTACACTTCCATTTTCAGCAAGCTTTACATCTCATGGATAGAAGGCTTGTTTCGGAGTCAAAAAGTTGTGGTTTCAAATCCCACTCTAGGGTTAAGCTCATTATCTAGATGGATGCTTCAGTCGAATGCTGAAGGATCACTGTACTGCTGGAGGTGTTGCCTTTTGGACTATACATGAAGCCAAGACCCCATTTGGTCTCAGACATATATTAAACGTGTCAATAGAACTGTTTGAAGTTCAACAGGGGAGCTTTTCCAAAATTATTCACATTGTGAAGATCTAGTTCACAGAAAAGGGAAATATGTTTTGTTGCCACATTCTGTTGAATGTTCTTTTAAGTAAAATATATACAATCACAAGGTTGCAAGTTCATTCAGTTCTGAGGAAGGGTCACTGGACCCGAAACGTTAACTCTGTTTTCTCCTCCACAGATGCTGCCAGAACTGCTAAGCTTTTCCAGCAACTTTGTTTTTGTTCCTGATTTACAGCATCCGCAGTTCTTTTGGTTTTTGCAAGGTCATTCCTTTAGCTGCTTTAAATTAATGCAAAGTTTGGTATGAATAGGGGACATAGAATTTCAAAAAAATTTACAGGGCAGAAGGAAGCCATTCAGCCCATCTGGTCAACACTATCTTTCCAAATGAACATTTCACAGGAGCATTCTCATGCTTTCTGCCTGTAACTCTACACATTCTTCCTTTTCAAATAAGCAACTCATTCCCTTTCGACTGCTTTAATTGAACCTGCCTCCTGTGCACTCTCAGGCAGTTAAACTCTCAAAATCTGAAAAGTTTTTACTTCTGATCATTTTTGCTTCTTTTAATGATGTTAAATCGGTGTTCTGTCTTTGTCCATCTTTTCATGAGTGGGAACATGTTCTCCCTATTTACACTGTCTGGTCCCCTCCATACACTTTAATCAGATCTCTGCCAAGTTTTTACTTCACCAAGGAAACCAGTCCCAAGTTCTTGAATTCATTTTTGTAACTGAAATTCCTCATTCCTAGGACCCGATACACGTGACAATAAAATCAAAATCAAAAAACCAAAAATCATTCTCATAAACTGCTTCCGCCATCTCTCCAATGCCTTCCCATCCTTCCTTATTATAGTACCAGAACTGAATGTAATACTCCAGCTGGGGTAGAACTGTTGGCTTATATAAACTTCAATATAACTTCCTGCTCTTGTACTACATGCTCATGTTAATAAAGAAAAAAAATTGCATGTCAATCCTAAAAGGCCATCCCTAATTTTAGAACACAGCACCTAGTTTCGGATTCTCCAGACTTCAATCAAGTTGCTGCTCACTTTTCTAAACTTCAGTCTGTCCAACTTTTCCTCACAAAACAACCCAATCATTCCTGCTCTGAATCTAGTAAAACTCCTCTTAAAAAGCCCTGATACATTTACATCATTTCTTAAATTAGATGGCCAAACCATGTACTGTATTCAAGTTCCAGTCTCATCAAATCTCTGTATATGTGAAGCATAACATCCTTACTTTTATGTTCAATTCCTCTCATAATAAAGGAAAGCATCTTGATTACATGGTGTAGCTGCATTCTAACTTTTTGTAACTCATGCACTAGAACACCTAGAATCCCTTGTTCCTCAGAATTCTACAGTTATCATCTAGTAAAGTAATCCTCTGCATCTTCATTCTTCCTGCAAAGTGAACAACTTTACATGTTCCTGAAATAACTCCACAGATGCTGGTATCCCGACGCAAATCACCCTTTATTTATATGTGGGGAGTCTATGACACTGATCCAGCTCCCTCAGAGCCAGCTGCTAGAGTGAACAGAACCTCTGACACTCTTGTTTTTACCTGTCAGCCAGGGCTCCCGGATTGGACCAAATTAATAGCCCCAATCAGGGAACTCATATTCTAAGGCTGAGATTATCAAATCAGGCATGATCTCAGAATGGTGGAGTAGACTCGATGGGCTGAACGGTGTACTAGTCCATTATTTTATGTATAAATGATCCACCCACTGTGCCAAATTACAAATGTTAAATACAACATCGAACTTAAAGAAAAAGCATATAACTGTGCAAAGATAAGTGGCAGCTCAGAAGATTGGGTGGATTATAAAAAACAGCAAAGTATTATGAAAAAAAAATGAATAAAGAGGGAAACCTTACATATGAAAGAAAGCTAGCAAGAAATATAAAAATGGATAATAAGAGTTTCCATAAATATTTAAAGATGAAAAGCAACAGCAAAGTGAGCCTAAGTCCTATAAAACATCAGATTGGATAATAAATAATGGAAAATAACAAAATGGCAGAAAATGGTCCCCCTTATTTAAAGAATAAGAAATTATTTCATTGGAGGCAGTTCAGGGAAGGTTCACTAGTATGATCTCTAGTAAAGAGGGATTATCTTATGGGCAAAAATTAAACAGGTTGGGACTCTACTCACTGGAGTTTAGAAGAATGAGAGGTGATCTCATTGAGACATATGATTCTTAAGGGTCTCGATGGGGTTAATGCTGAGAGGATGTTTCTCCTCATGGGAGAGTCTAGAACCAGACAGTATAGTCTCAGAGTTATAGGGTGCCAATTTAAGACTGAGATGAGGAGGAATTTCTTCTCTCAGAGAGTTCAGAGTCTTTGAATATCCTTGTCACAGAAAGCGGTGGAGGCAGAGTCTTTGTTTATATTTAAGGCTGAGAGAGATGGATTCTTGATCAGTTGTGGAATCAAGGGGTATGGAGAAAGGCCAGGAGAAGGAAGTGAGGAGTGTCAGATCAGCTATGATCCTATCAAATAATGGAGCAGTCTTGAGGGGCTGTACGGCCTACTCCTGTGCCTATTTCTTATTATTTTATGGTCTAATTGAATAGGGTTGTACAGCAGTGTACAACCAGTGTTCCCTTCGGGCTAGGCCTGAAACGTCAGCTTTCCTGCTCCTCTGATGCTGCTTGGCCTGCTGTGTTCATCCAGCTCTACACCTAGTTGTCTCATAAGTGTAAGTGGGTCTTTTTCAGGTTACAAGGTGTAAAAGGCACTGCCACAGTAATTGGTATGGGACTTCGATTACTCACAATTCATATAAATGACTTAGAAGAAGAGATAGAATGTTGGTTTCCAAATTTATTGATGACACAAAGATAGCAAGGCAAGTATTTATGGAGACGATACAAAAAGATAAAGATATAGATGGGTTAACTGAGTGGGCAACGATGTGGCAAATGGAATATAATGTGGGAAAGTGTGAAATTGTCCAATTTGACAGGAAGAATAAAAAAGAAGCACATTATCTAAATGACAGATATGGAGAGCTCTGAGATGCAGAGGGATTTGGGTGCCCTAATGCCTGAGTTGCGGTAAGTTAGTATGTCACTACAGCAAGTATTTAAGAAAACTAATAGAATGTTGTCATTTATTACAAGAGGAATTTAATTCAGTTGTAGGCAGGTTATGTTTTACTTACACAGAGCACTTGTGAGACCACAGTTGGAGTATTGTACACAGTATTGGTCACCTTAGAATCATAGAATCCCTACAGTGTGGACCTTGTTTAAGAAACAATGTAAATGCATTGTAAGCAGTTCAAAAATGGTTTACTAGACTAATACCTGGAATGGGCAGGCTGTCTTATAAAGTAAGTTTGAACAGGTTAAGCTTGTATCCATTGGCGTTTACAAGAGTAAGAGGTGACTTGACTGGAACATCTTAAATCTTGAGGAGTACCTGACAAGGTAGATGTGGAGAGGTTGTTTCCTCTTTTAAGAGAATCTAAAATTAAGAGTCATGGTTCAAATATTGTGGTCACCCATTTAAAGTAGAGATTAAGCAAAAAAAAATCTCAGAGCAGAGTCTCTTTTCCTGAAAAGGTGGTAGTAGCAGAGTCCTTGAATAATTTTAAGAGGGGGGTAGATAACTTTTCAATTCCTTGCTTAATCTATCAGGGATAAGAATGTTGATGTGAGGTTATAATCAGATCAGCCATGATTTTATTCGAATTGCAGAGCAGGCTAGAGTGACTGAATGGCCTGCTCCTGCTCTTGGTTCAGATGTTAACATGAATTTTATGAAATATTCCCTTAAATGTCTACCACTGGGTCTCTATTGATCCACTCCTTGACTAGTATGCCAGTTCTCTTCAGATAGTTCAGCTTTCATGTCCACACAGTTGTCCTTAGTTAGGTTTAAAATACTAGAGCTGAATCTTCCAATTTGCTGACTAAGTCAAAGTTGTGCTAAGTTTTTTGGAGGGCTTTTTTGCATGAGCCTTTGTGAGTTCTCTTGCCGTATCTTACTAAACTCTCCGTATTAATTACCTACCTTGACAACATGCTGTTCCTGGAACAACTTGCCATTCACTGCACATCCCAAAATTGACCAATGCCACCTTTGAAGGATCGTCATATACCTGGACAGGCACTGTTAGTTTGGACCTGTCCTGCACCATTTGTGACATTTGCCCTGGACTTGGCAGACAGAGGGAAATTGGCACCTTGCTATGCATACAGGGATCAGCAGGCCCCACTGCATGGGCTCATACAGAGAAATGACTTGCTCTTCCCCCAGCAGCAGCAGAGAAGGCCACAATACCAGACCGTGCCAGCCCGGTCCCAGGTTGCTACCTGGGCTAAGGCAGTTTGGTGGAATGCACAGCAGCATAGGGAGAAGGTCAATGACTTCCTCCACCCCATCAGTTTAAATGCCACCATCTTCTCACACTCACTCTCTCCTCTGTTCCCCCTCACTATTGCCTGTGACAGATCCCCCACTCATTGTGCCCACCCAACCCAATACCACAAACTCTGCATGACCTCTGCAGTGCCTAACTTGGGGCACCTGACATCCTGCACCAAA